TGAGATTTTGCTTTTGGAAACTTTAATTCCTCTTTTTCTGGATGTAAATCACATTTTTTGGATGATTGTTTCCTCTGGTATCGGATGCTGTGCAGCTGAAAGGATTTTTACTGAAACTTTTTTTAGTTTTGGACATTTGTTATGATGTGTAACCATGGCAACAAGGCAGTTTTCTACAACCAACAGCAGCCGATTAACATCTCAAAAGCTCAACTAATATCTCAACTAAAGCCCCAAATCTCAAATGAGTTAAAAAGGATGTTCTGTGGATGCATTCTCATCTACCTGCCAGCTGTGTTTGAGTGCCTGACCACTGAGATCCTGGAACTAGCAGGAAACACGACTCATGACAGCAGAAGGACAGGATCGTCCCTCGGCACCTACAGTCGGCGGTCCGCAGTGACGAGGAGCTCGGCAGACTGCTGGGAGGAGTGGCCATAACTCTGGGAGGAGTTCTGTCCAGCATTCGGGTGGTCCTAGAGCCTGGGGGAACGGAGAGAGGCCAGCCGAGTCTGGGTGGACGGATCGGACGCATCTGAGGCCAGTTTCTTAGGCTCCACTGTGGGATGGACCTTTACAAGAGATCCTTCCTGTCAACAGCCATTAGCATCTATAACATCTCTTAATGAAATGAGGATAACGAGTTACAACAACGAATAATTTCCCTTTGGGATTAATAAAGTAATTTTGAATTTGAATTTGAATCAAAAACGCAAAGCAAATTATTGGCATGTTGCATGTTTATTATATGACAAGTTCAGTTGAATATATGTACTAGCAGTAATATCATTAAGAAAAGTTCAACTGTAGTTCCAATTCAAACGTTACACTATAATAATGCACAGACTTTTAGTTGCATGTTCACCCGACATGCATCAAATGTACATTTAAGTTCCTGTAGGACTTGTTAAACCAAACCTAATCAAATTATACAACTGATGGGCATATGTGAGAAAGTGCACAACACACAGTTACAATTAGGTCCACAAGGAGGATTCCATTTAAGGGTCAAGGTTCAAGGTGACTTTATTGTCATTTGCATCAGGTACATGAGGTAGAATGAAATTGTGTACTCACGGTCCCAGTTACACCCAAAAATAGCAAAAATATAAAAAGTATAAAAAAGAAACAGTATACAAGGATCTAAGATATATGCTAAACAATAATAATGTAAAACCATGCGGTGTATTAAGCACCAGCCCGAACATGAGTTTGTAGTGAACAGATGGGTATGAATACAGCAGCTTAAGGGCAAGAAATCAGCAACATGGATAATCAGCAGCACAAACAAGTCACATATCACCAATTAAAGTGGCATTACAGTGATTATCCTGGTTAGAGATTCATGAGTCTAACAGCCGCAGGGTAGAAGCTTTTCCTCAGTCTAGTGGTTCTACACTTCATGCTCCTTAACCTCCTTCCTGAGGGGAGTGGGGCAAAAAGTGTGTGTGCTGGGTGAGTGGGGTCCTTCATGATGCAAGTGGCTCTCTTCCTGCATCTGGAGGTGTAGATGTCTGTGAAGGTGGGGAGACTGACTCCAACAGACTTCTGTGCAGCCTTCACCACTCTCTGAAGAGCTTTTTTTTCTGCAGCTGTGCAGCCTCCATGCCACACGTTGATGCTGGAGCACAGGATGTTCTCCACTGCACACCTGTAGAAGGAGGTGAGGACTGAGCTTCCCAGTTCAGCTCACCTCAGCTGCCTGAAGAAGTTGAGTCTCTGATTTATGTAATTCTGTAGGAAGTCTGTTGGTAAAGTGCCCTGTAGAACAGTGTAGTTATGATAAGTCCAGTCCAGCTCCACATGGATACGCACATTAGCTGTTTTCCTGTTGGCTTCAACTTCTAGCAGAGACAGTTGCTTTTATTTTCTCTTGTAAAAGCAGGTATTTTCACTTCATCACACATTAGTCCAACATTGTTACCTATGTCAAATCCCCAGTCATTCCGCGATAGCGTGCCCACAAAGATGGTGAACCGATCACGTGATCGCCATGTTGTTATGACACTTGAGAACCATGGTAAACGGATTGTACTTATCTAGCGCCTTTCTATCTGATCAACATACTCAAAGCACTTTACACTACAATCTGTGCCCTCATTTACACATTCATACAGCACTCTACTAGATCTCTATAAAGCTAATTGAACGAATCATTCTAAAGAGATTAATCAGAGCTTTGTCACATTCATACACTGATGGGACACACATCAGAGGCAATCAGGGGTTCACTGTCTTGCCCAGGGACACTTCAGCATGTGGCTGCTCGTGGAATCGAACCCCCAACTCTCGCATTGGAGGACAGCTGCTCTAACCACTCAATCACAGCCGCCCCATCCATGGCCATCCATCCATCCATTATCTTTTACCCGCTTCTTCCTCTTCGGGTCACGAGCGTCACTGGTGACGTTATCCAGACCAGCAGTCACTGTGCGAGAGGCGGGGGATCTCCATTCCATCACAGGGACATCTTGGGACAATTTAGAGTTACCTATCAGTCGAACATGCATGTTTTGGTCTGTGAGAGGAAACCGGAGTACCCGGAGAAAACCCACGCAGCATGGAGAGAATATGCAAACTCCACCCAGAAAGTCCCCCAGCTAGGATTTGATCAGGTGACCTATTAGCTGAGAGGCAACAGCTCTACCAACTGAGCCACCCCTATGATTTAACCACCTGATTTTAGAATGTTCTTTTTATCTTTACTTTTAATGACTGTACTGTATTGAAAAAAATTAATTTAACCAATGTTTTGTGTAAATTGGAAATGAACTGTACATATATAGCATCTTTCTATTTTATGAAGATACTTAACGCTCTTTACAGCACAATCTGTGCCCTCATTTACCTCCACACACACATTCATACAACACTCCTACACACACATTCATACAGCACTGTACTACACCCATTCATACAACACTCTACTACACACACACATTCCTACAGCACTCTACTACGCACACATTCATACAGCACTCTACTACACACACATTCATACAGCACTCTAATACACACACATTCATACAGCACTCTAATACACACACATTCTTACAGCACTCTACTACACACACACATTCCTACAGCACTCTACTACACACACATTCATACAGCACTCTAATACACACACATTCATACAGCACTCTAATACACACACATTCTTACAGCACTCTACTACACACACATTCATACACCACTCTACTACACACACATTCATACAGCACTCTACTACACACACATTCATACAGCACTCTACTACACACACATTCATACAGCACTCTACTACACACACATTAATACAGCACTCTACACACACATTCATACAACACACACACATTAATACAGCACTCTACACACACATTAATACAGCACACTACTACATCAAGATAATATGAATCTGTAGAGATTAATCAGAGGTTTAGATCCATCCATCCATCCATTATCTTTACCCGTTTATTCCATTTTGGGTCACGGGGGTCGCTGATGCCCATGTCCAGCAATCACTGTGTGAGGGGCGGGGTACACCCTGGACAGGTCGCAAGTCCATCATAGGGCCACATAGAGACAAACAACCATGCACTCTCCCACTCACACCTAGGGACAATTTAGAGTTAACAATCAGCCTAACATGCATGTTTTTGGTCTGTGGGAGGAAACCGGAGTACCCGGAGAAAACCCACGCATGCACGGAGAGAACATGCAAACTCCACCCAGAAAGGCCCCTGGACCGAGGTTTGAACCAGGGACCTGCTCGCTGAGAGGCAGCAGCTCTACCAGTTGCGCCACTGTGCTGCCCCGAGATTTAGATCAATTGTTGAAAATCAATTGGAAAAAAAAAAAAGTTCTCAAACTGGAGTCCCTGGACCCCCGGGGTCCGCAAATCGGTGCTTGGGGGTCTCACCCGCAAAACAAAGTAGTATATATTTTTTTTACAGTCAGGTAGATGTTTAACAACCCGTTAAAACACACCAAAATGCAAGAAATCACATCTATTCAAAATTTTCAGGGGGAGACCCCCAGACTCCCCACTCTTTGCGTTCCGGCATGATCACTTTACAGATTAAGCGTTGTTACTGTGGAACACCAAAATGCTCAAAATTTATAAATAAATAGAAACATGATGAAATAAGAAAATTTTCATTTTTATTCTTTTATTTTATAATTGTTTTTCATGATAGCTTACAATTATGAAATAAAAGAATAAAAATGAATTTTTTTTCATAATAATGAGCTTAGATACTTATTTCATAATGCTTTATTTATTTTTTATTTTTTAAATTTGAGCATTTTGGTGTTCCATATGTTACTTGGTATGAATACTGCTGTTATGATTCTGTTCATTTTTATGTAAAGGGTTTTCTGTAATAATTTGAAGAAGTGGAAATACATTTATTATGTGAACAGGTAAAGTTTTAAAGTGATTTTTGATTCTGTTAATTTTCTCACAACTGTACAGACACAATATATGATCCATATAAAAAACTGAAAAACAACAAGAACACAGAGTTAAAAAGAACAAACACAAATATTTCCATTGCATTAAAGAAACAAATTGTAGAAAATTATTTAATAAACATGAGGGTTATGAGGGGGTTCCTGAAACCCAAAAGTTTAAGAACCCCTGCTTTAGATCATATTCATACACTGATACATCAGAGACAGTGAAAGGTTCAGTGTCTTGCCCAGGGACACTTCAACATGTGACTGCTGGTGGAATCGAACCCTCAGCTCTCCCATTGGAGGACGACTGCTCTAACCCACTGAAAACTACTCTAGAGTAAATCTGCCCAGGGTCGGCCCATTGGCGTTGTTACAGAGCAGTTTTCAGTTCGTGCTCCTGAAGGAAGCTGCTGGACTGATGTGATCAAACCACCATGACTCTCCGGGCTCCGCGGCAGCGAGCGGGTTAAAGCTGACGCTGTGTCAGTCCAAGTCTCACAGCGCTCCTCCGGGCTGTCCCAGCCCACCGCCTCCCGCCTCCGCTCCGGCTGCTGGGGGCAGAGGGAGAGCCTCTCCGAGTGGGGCTGTTTGTTGCGGATATATCTGAAAGTAGCCGAAGCGACGGCTGCTGCTGCGGAGCTCCACCGACTGGACAGAAGCAGCTCCGAGCACCGGGAGACACGAGAACTCGACGGCAGGACTCCCAACACAGGGCTCGCAGGATTTATTCGCTTTAATTACAGGACTGAGGCAGGAAGTCGGAGCTGTGACACTTGTAAGTTTAGTTTCGTTCAGCCTGTCTCGGCTGAACTCCTCTGAAGGTTTTCTAGGTTTCGTCTCGTTTTTCCTCTGAAATCATTCTGGAAAACGTTTCCTCACTTCTGCTGCCGTGGTGTCGTTTCCAGAACAGCTTCAATGTAACGTGTTTGACGTGTTTCAGTTAGAACTGTACTGGGAGCAGCCGCATGCTGGGGCTGAATGGTTAGAGCAGTTGTCCTCTAGTGGGATAGTTGGGGGTTTGATTCTACCAGCAATCATAGCTGAAGTTGCTCTGGGCAAGACACTGAACCCCCTCATTGCCTCTGAAGCGTGTCCCATCAGTGTATGAATGTGATAAAGCTCTGATTATTCTCTACGGATTCAGCTTAAATTTGTAGAGATGTAGTAGAGTGCTATATGAATGTGTGTGTATGTAGTAGAGTGCTGTATGAATGTGTGTGTATGTAGTAGAGTGCTGTATGAATGTGTGTGTAGTAGAGTACAGTATTAATGTGTGTTTAATAGTGTGCTGTATGAATGTGTTTGTATGTAGTAGAGTGCTGTATTAATGTGTGTGTAGTAGTGTACTGTATTAATGTGTGTGTAGTAGAGTGCTGTATGAATGTGTGTGTAGTTGAGTGCTGTACGAATGTGTGTGTAGTAGAGTGCTGTATGAATGGGTGTGTGTAGTAGAGTGCTGTATGAATGTGTGTCTATTAGAGTGCTGTATGAATGTGTCTGTGTAGTAGAGGGCTGCATGAATGTGTTTGTGTAGTAGACTGCTGTATGAATGTGTGTGTGTCTAGTAGAGTGCTGTATGAATATGTGTGTGTCTAGTGGAGTTCTGTATGAATGTGTGTGTGTAGTAGAGGGCTGTATGAATGTGTGTGTCTAGTAAAGTGCTGTATGAATGTGTGTGTTTATTAGAGT